TTTTGCATGTCTATAAATCTCCAGGATGATTGATTTGAGGGTTTTCCAGCACCGAAACAACCTTTCCTTGTGGGATTTTAGGTGCACCTTACTCGTATAATATAAGGTTGATACCTTATGTAAACCTTTTCCTTAAAAGATGCATGTTATGGAGTTAATTTTGGTCATATTTAAAGAAATTTCCGTACTGTGACCTTAATGTTTGCCATTTTCCTATTGTTCATATAATCTTTTCTATTTTCACTACGATAATCCTTCCAAAGGGAAAAGTTTATTTAAGGTTGCAACCTTAAAATATAGAACTATAGATGCACCTAAAAAATCCATCACTAAAGGTTGTCTTAATGTTTAAAAACCCTCTAATTGATCATCTCGACATCGAGATGTATGACCATGAAAAAAAAAGGATTTTGACTCCCAGAAATGGTGCATCTTACAACATATTATCTAGACCGTCCATTTTCAAGAGTTTCATCTACTTGATTTTAATCATTTTTGGATTTTAAAATTTTATAATTAGATTTGAAAATAGATTTTGAGATAATCTTAAGAATATTTTACATCAAAATTATATGTTATGATAAAATTTGAAGGCATGTCTTAAATGGATTGTTTAAGGTTGCAACCTTATGGAAACCACACTCTATTCCAAAAGAAAATCAAAGTAAAAAATTGTCTTAGATATAGTAATTTTAAGGAAAAATTACAAAAGCCCTCCTTAACTCTTTTTATCACCTCTCCCAACCAATTTTTTTTATCAAAACTTTTCTAGCAAATAATCCCCCACTCAAAAATTTATAGTAGGAAAAATTACAAAAGCCCTCCTTAACTCTTTTTATCACCTCTCCCAACCAATTTTTTTTATCAAAACTTTTCTAGCAAATAATCCCCCTCTCAAAAATTTGTAGCTTTTAGTATCAAAATGCCCTCTCTCTCTCTCTTCTAACACCCACGACTTAACTTTTCCCATAAAACATACAAAAAGGCTGTCCAACAATGTAAACAAACGGTCCGGCACTCTCCCAAATCGGTTCGGCACTGCCAAAGAGCAGTCCGGGCCCATACTGTCTAGCACTACCAAAGAGCGGTCCTGCAATAGGCCCATGTGATTTGGCAATAAGCCCAAAAGCATGGTTCGGTAAGGTCTTCATTCGGTCCGGCAATTATTGTGTGACAATGTGCCCTCGGTCCTGCATATTGTGGACTCCGTCTGATATTCTTTCTAGTCATTGAGCGTCTTACGGAGATGTGATGTCATCATGTACGGACAAGGGTAATTTTGTAAAAAAAAAGATGACTTTTTGACTTGGGGATATTTACTAGAAAAATTTGTTTTGGGGTAAAAGTTGCGACAAAACGATTGGTTGGGGAGACGTTGCCCAAAAAATCCAAGTTAGGGGTATCTATAGCAAGATGTATTGCTCCAGTGTAGGACCACCCTGTCCATTTACTCCGTCTAGTAAAACTAAGCTAGGAGTATATTTACGACACCAAGTTTTTGAGAGGCTAACTTCTAAGCACACAAACTAACCTCGAAAAAGGAAAACATTATGTGATTCAAGAATGATAAACCATCTCAAAATTAAATAGGGGCCGCCCAATTTTTGGAGGGCAAGATCTAAGCGTTGAAAAACTCAATCTCTAGTTTTTCTTTTTTCTTTTTCTAATAACCATCGAGTGGTTCTTAGGCAGATCCCACAAGATTTAGGAGAACAAAAAAGAAAACGCCCAAGTAACTCTTTTTTCTAGAGTATGTAAATGTGGAGTATGCTCCCAGCATGCTAGACGCGCTAATTTTTAATATATAACGCTTGTGCTCCCTTGGGAGCATACTATACGGCTACTCCCTCGGCTAGATGACCTACTTTGGAGGATTTTTCAGTCTGAAAATTTGGGATACACCTTAAAATCAATAGATCTAGATAAGTTTTTAAAATTTTAAGTTTTCAAAGACTTAGATCTCAATGTCAAGAAATTCGACAGTCTCCATTCAATTTTGAGATTTTTTTTTTTTTCAAATGAAGTGCTATTTAGAAATTTGTTTTATTCAGGTCGTTCTATAAGTCGAAAAGGATACATCTCCAAATGTTACTCTTACATTGAGTTTTACCAAGGGAGTAAATGGGCAGAATGCACCCCTAGGAATGAATTTTTTTTTTTTTTTAGTGTTAAGGGTATGAAATATTTTGGCCTCAATTAACTCCGGACAACAAATTTTCCAAAATATTTAACTAATTTGACTCCAAGAACAGTGGTATTATTATGATGTAAGTAGCTCAACCATAAGATGACCTTCTTGATTTAAATTTTCTCCTTTAGATTAAATATGAGATCTTAGGAAGAAAGTCATAATTGTTTCATTTTAAATAATTACTCTCATTGAGGAACCCATTATACCTAGGACCAACCTGCATACATAAGGCCATAAATACAGCACATTTCCATCTGTCAAGGCATAGAAAAGTCCCTTGACCCTCATCGTTTTCTTCTTATTAAATCATAAAACCTTTTTTTTTTTTCTCCATCAAAAGATTCTGTGCTCCCTCAAATAAAATCTGATCTAAGAGTTCTTTTGGGATTTAGAATTTTGAGTTCAAGATTCACGAGAAGATTTGGCAAAGTTTTACACTGCTGTCTACCTAGCATGTACCCTCGTCTATCTGTGGTAATGTAGGGTCGACAAATGAGTACAAGTGCTTGAAAAGTGCATTCCAACTATTGCCTCGCATACCCTCGTCTATCTGTGGCAATGTAGGGTCGACAAATGAGTACAAGTGCTTGAAAAGTGCATTCCAACTATCGCCTCGCATTGTTAAGGCTTCATTAAAGCCATCAGATCCTCTTAGCCTGATCATTTGCTTCCTTTAATCTTTATTTTCAGACATGAATCAAAACAGCTTCATAGATTGGAAGGAGAATCCCATCAACAAGCAAAAACATGGAGGACATAGGGCCACATGCCTATTGCACAGTAAGATGTCCCCAACTCAATTTCTTATCTGTTGAGCCAAGCAAAAGCCAAAAGCACCTGTATTTGTACATTGCAAATCATAATTCTAAGAATCACTGTTAATGTAGTTGCTTAATTGGTTTTGTTTCATTGCAGTCTTAGTGCTGTCAGTGAATATTGCGATGCTACCGATGATAATGAACACAGTTACTTAGCTGCACGAAACCATGCATTTCGATCTTGCAAAGGCCTCTACTACCATGACGAACTTCATTGGTGCAACTTCACTCTTTGCTTTGTTCGAGGGGTTCCTCTCAGATTCATACATCAAGAGATTCAAGATGATACTCATCTTCGGTCCAATGCAGTTTCTAGTATGTTATTATTTTGAATTTTGTTATTTTCTCGCTATATCCCCTAGAGAATTTAATTAAATCAAGTTATGCACATCAAGTCCTTTTAACCTTAAAATTTGGATATTATGAAAAAATCTTCGTTTGCAGAAACAGAGTAAATAAGGATGATACCACCAATGAGAACCAGTTTTCTTGAAAAATTACTGGTCATTTTATTTGTTACCAGGAAAATGTGCTCAATTCGCTAAATTCTGGATAGGTATGAAACATAAAGAATCTGCAAAACTATTGAACATGAAAGAATACCAGTTTATATCTGACATACCAATTCCTACTTCAATAGCTTTTAGGTTCTGATTCATTTATAGGATAATATTGAATAGAAAATTCATATCAGCAATTAAATCCCAATTTAATATACCAGAGCATAGGTATTATGTTGAAAATTCTTATGTTAAACAAGACTCTTTCATATTGGTGTCTCTAACAGTTTGAGATGGGCTATAAGACAGTAACAAACATCAATTTATATTCTATGGTTTTGGAGGATTTGAAGATTGATTAGTTGTTCATGGTAATCATAGGGATATGGGATGCTTGCAGCTCAGGCACATTTCGGATTGCTTCGTCCACCTCCGTGTGACACTGCAAATGATGAAAGCAATTGCAGTCCTGCTGAAGGGGGGAAAGCTGCAATGCTTTATATTGCACTATACACACTGGCCCTTGGTGAAGGTTGTTTAAGGGCTAATATCCCTCCATTTGGAGGTGATCAATTTGATGAGAATGATATTGAAGAATCTAAGCAAAGGTCTAGCTTCTTCAACTGGTACACTTTCAGCATTTCACTGGGTGGTGCGATTGGTTTGGTTCTGATAATTTGGCTACAAAGTAGTGAAGGTTGGGCCTATGGATTTGCTACATGTTCCTTATTTATTTTAGTAGGCTGGATCGTGGCCGCGAGTGGGTTCCCCTTGTATCGCCACCAACGCCCGAGTGGTAGTCCTCTGTCAAGAATCATGCAGGCAAGGACCACCTCTCTCTGTCTGCGTCTGTGTGTGTGCGTGCACGCGCATGTACATGTGTGACATACATCTTTTCTGAAAGGAACCCAAGTGCGACAATGTATCGTTCTCTCAAGAAACACACACGGTCCTCTATCTTCTCTCTAACACATTCACAAGGACACATGTGTGACACACACAAACACATACCCTTTTTCTATTGGAACCTTTCGTTTCAAACTCAGCCCGTCCAACTTGGAATCGGCTGATCAAACCAGAACCTGGGTATTTTAAAAAAAATAAAAAATATATAAAACCCCAAAAAATAAGAGATTTATTTGTAAAGTACCTTTGAATAATTTTTTATCATCTTGGGAAAGATTGGAAAGTGTTTCGACCATGAATACTTATTTTTTACAGTTTTCCATCTTTTTTTAATTTTTTTTAAAATACCCCTGGCACAAATGTATTTTTGAAAATCCATTTTTCACTAATTTTCACCTTTATTTGGATGTCCCTTGTAAGTTAGGCTTTAAATATACTTTTCATTTTTTTTAAAATTTTTGGTATTTTTTTTTAATTTTTTAACATTTTTTGAACCAGTCAGGATATGTCCAATTAAGCTGGTTGAACTGGCTAATTTATCACGTGTTACACACTCTTCCACTCTCTCTCTCTTATAATTAAATACGTTTTTTAATTTAGGTAATAGTTGTAGCCATAAAGAATAGGAAGCTTGATCTACCTGCAAATGCTGAGGAATTAAATCATGGAAAGATTGTGGAGGATACGGTGGATATGGAAGGTCTGACTAACACCAATGATTTCAAGTAAGTCAGACAAATTGCCAAATATTTTATTTTTTTTATGGACCATGGCTATATTTATTTAAGTTTGGAAAAGGTTTATACAAGGTTGCAAACTTAAAACGTAGAATTACATATGCGTCTCAAAAATCCATCAAAAAAGATTGTTTTAATGTTGAAAAACTATCTAATTGATCATTTCGATATCAAGATTTATGAATATGCGAAAAAAAAAAAGATTTTAAGTACCAAAAGTGGTGCATCTTGCAACACATTATCTAGACCGTGCATTTTCAAGCTTTTCATATGTTTATAAATCTCTTTTTTTTAAGTTTAAAATTTTATAGTTAGATATGGAAATAAATTTTCGTATAATCTTAAAAAACTTTTATACCAAGGTATATGTTATGATAAAATTTAAAAGTACGCCTTCATTGGATGGTTTAAGGTTGCAACCTCATAGAAACCACAGCCTTTTAAGTTTTTTTTCTATCGCAATTCCCAATGCTTGTTGAAGATGAGAACAAAGGAGTCAAACTATGCTTTCATCCACCGTTAGTTCTCGGCATGGATGGTAGAGTTGAACTATCATACAACATGATGGTCATCTCCACCATCTGTCTAATGATCGGAAGGTGGATAACCTGCTTTTTGACTGTGCGGCATTAACATGTGTATGTGGTTTATTCAAAAGGTGTGGCTTTTATAAAATTTCCGCTTTAAATAATCAAGGTAAGGAACGCTTTCAAATCCTGTCTAAAGATGTAACATTCATGAACGAAATCGTTATGATGGCCTAAAATCTAATTTGACCTTTAATTATAAAATCTATAGTTTTAAAATTAGTATAGGTCAAGCATATTCATAAATACTTAAAAAGTTGAAAACTGACCGTTTAAATAAATATTACAACCTTTAAGCCTTGAAAGACCTCACGATGATCAAGTAGAGGGTTTTCTAGACTCAAGACAATATTTTCTATGGGCTTTTGAGGTGTGCTATACTTCTATAATATAAAGTTGATGCTTTATATAAACTTTTTCCTCATTAAATAGGGTGCCGTTTGTATAAAATCGAGGCTCTAAGCAATCAAAGTAAAGTGCACCTTCAAATACTATTGCGAAATGTGTTTCAATATTGGAAATCTTTGTGATATCCTTAAAATGTATTTTCATATCTAATTATAAAATTTAAAACTTCAAAAATAGTGTAGACTGGGCACATCAATGAAAATCTTGAAAATGGACGGCTCAAAACTGCATAACAAGATGCATTATTTCCAAAATTTAAAATCCATTTTTTTCTCATATCCATACATCTTGAGGTCGAGATGATCAATTGAGGATATTTAGACATCAAAACAACCTCTTCTAATCAAATTTATGAGGTGCACCCTAATTTGATCGTTTGGAGCTCCACACTTATATAAACGTTTTCCTTTAAAATATCACTTCTAAAGTTCTATAACTATGCCCCCAAAAACAAAGAGGAATTATATAAGGCATCAACCTTACACAATAAAAATAATATGTAATTAAGAAAAAGGTTGATCCTAAGCTGGAATATCTTCAAAATGATTATTTTAAAAGTGTCATTGAATAGATACAAAGTTCTAAAAAAAAATCTCGAACTTCGTAATTCAACCCATCCAATTTGACATTTAATAGGTGGAAATAATTATGAGCTCTTTATACAAAAGATAAATGGTCTCTTTATAGACAATCCCATACCTTAAAGTAAACAATGTTATCATACTCACAAGTTAAATTTGATATTAATTGTTTTGAATTCCTGTGAACTCGTATATTGTACTTTTTATTAAAGAATTAGATGTGAAATCAACAAATTAGATTTCTTCTTCTCTTTCTCAATGTTCTTCCATTTGGGATGTAGGTAATGTCAATACCCCACAATATCTCCAAAAGATTTACATGCTCATGGGGGAGCAAATTGACCACTGACCACTTGCTTCCCTGGGGAAAACCTACTTAGGAGTAAATTTTTTGGACCCAAAATTTTGTGTAACTCACTCATCATCCTGGCCACCAACCTAAAACAATAAAAAAGATTATGCACCATAGAAATGCTTGAGAAAAATCATGTCTCAGGATTGAATAGAGGCGTTGAGTTTTTGAATTATTAGGAATAAGTGTTTAAGCCTTTTAGTTCTTTCTTTTTTTATTTTCTGCTTTTTTTAAAAATTATTTATATGGTGATTGTATGGTGTTTCCAATGATCAAATGTTTCCAAAGATCTTTGATTAAACAAGACCAAAGGAGTGTTAGGAAACAAGAATCGAATGTAGACTCGAGCATTCACTTATCCAAATCACCTTGCAAATTCTGAGTGAATTGGACCAAATGTTGAGAAAAAGGAAAAACTCATAAACAAATAGAATCTCTCAGAACTAGGTAAATGCCAAGCCCTTATAGTGAACAGGTAGTTCACTAGAACCTGGATTTGTACAAACTGGGAAATTCCCATATCAGGAGCATCTAAACTAGGAACCCCTTGGCTCTGAGCTAACTTAGGAGATTCTGAGATAGCTTTGTGATTTTCCAAACACGGCTCCTAAATAGATGTTTTGCTCGACAAAGCATGTTTACAGTTTTCTCCCATGGAAGCATGACCTACTAATAATATGTTCTATAATTTACAAGTTTTATAAACCAAAAAAAAAAGGAAACGAGTGGGGTGGCGAGTGGGGGAGTGGTTTCATGCAATGACGTCATTGTAATAAAACCACACCTCTAAAACATGTTAAGGATGATCCTTAATTTTACATACAGCAGTCTCTTCATCCTAATAATAATCAATCTCAAAAAGAAAAATATTCCTTGCACCATAAAATAAGTGAAAACAAGTACATCTCTAGTTATGAATATAGTCTATGTATTTTCTGAACACTAATATCAAGGCTTTTAAGAATCAAAATCAAGTTAATCTGCTGATGATAAGGCCATCTACAAATTTGGGGTCAAATGGACAAACCTATAGTCATTGTGATACAAAAAACAATTTCAGGGATCGTTTTCATTTTACTCTTTCTTCTTTCCTTCTGGTTTTTGAGATTTCTCATATCGATAAAAGAGAAGGTGTTTCTCTCTCCCCCGTCCTCTCTCTCTCTTATATTGACTAGGGATTGTTGATTGTGAGGCCCCAATTCTGGACGGGAAGGGACACCAAAGAGAACCTCCCTCTGCCCTTCCATCCCTTAGATAGATAGATCGAGAGGTAGGGCAGAGCCTTCGGTTTTTTCATGTTGTCACACACAAACAATTGAACAATGAAAATAGATAGCGGGTGACTCATCGAATTGATCGGGTTAATTAGGAATAAGGTTCAAATCTCTCAGTTTGTTAGGATGCCTCAGCTGCATACATCACTGCACTATTTATGGTGTCAATATATTTTGTTCTACTAACATAATTGATCATGCACGATGGATGATGCCACTTTACCCATACCCAATCAATTGTGTGGGCCCTACGAATGACACCACATGCACTATCTTTAAAAATAGAAAATTGTGAAAGATGTATATGTCTGGTTATTTTTATCTCCTTTGGCTATTTTTATCTCATGACTCTTTCTTGGATCACATACTATTAGATTTTTGGATAAAGCCTCAATTTTAACTAGCAAGAAGGGCAAGTTGAGCCCGTGCTCGGTAACTCAAGTTGAGGAGACAAAGATCATCTTTCGACTGGTCCCCATCGCTTTAAGCTCGATAATCTGCTATGTTCCTGTCACTCTGTTGCTAACACTAACAGTTCAACAAGGAAACACAATGAACAAGAAGGTAGGGAGGATACATATCTCTCCAGCATCCCTCTTCTTTATCCCTATAACCTTTCAAATGTTAATCTTATTTCTTTACGACCGTTTCATTATGCCTTTTGGCCGAAGGCTCATAAAAGATGGGTCTGGCATCACAAGCTTGAAACGCGTTGGGTTGGGCTACTTCACAACTACAATTTCAATGTGTCTGGCTGCGATGATTGAGAAGAAGAGGAAGCAAGTGGCCATTGAGCATGGTATGGTGGAGGCCACTACTGGGATCCCCATGTCTGTGTTGTGGCTAGGGTTCCAATTCTTTGTATTGGGGATTTTTGATGCAACTAGCTTTGTGGGGCTGTTGGAGTTCTTCAACAGTGAAGTCTCCAAGGGGATGAAGTCATTAGGCACTGCAATCTTCTGGTGCATTCTTGGTTTGGGATCTTTGTTGGGTTCATTTCTTGTTCATTTGGTCAATCAGTTCACTAGGCATTCCCAAGGTGAGGGGTGGTTAGGGGGTAACAACTTAAACAAGAATCATTTAGATAGGTTTTATTGGCTCCTTGCTCTGATAGGCTTCATTAGCTTTATCAATTATCTTTGGTGGGCTTTGCAATACTCATCTAGACAATTTTATACCAGGGTTTAAGTTGGTATGATGCTTTGCATTATGTTTTTTTTCTAATGTTCTTTTTACTCTTCTTCTCAAATATTCTCAGTCTTCTTTGAATATGGCAATTTAGGATTCAATAAGAGCACATGAATTTATGCAATTTCCATTTTTATTTCTTTTACCACTCCCTTAATGGAGTATTGTCATCAAGTCAAATAATGCTAATGGTTGTGAGACTACTTCCATACTAATTAATACATGCCTGAATTTATCCTTGCAATCAAAAGAAAAAAAAGAAAGAAGGAAAATAAGAAGAAAAGCGAATTGGACACTCAAGAACCAATAAGATATTTTAATTTGTAAATATCCATAGTTTAGCACCTACCCTATGATATTTATGATGAAACCCAAAGCAGCATATGATACAAATAAAGGTAATTCTATGACTTCTTATATTAAACTAAAACCATCTAATGATTAACAAGAACCCAAACAATGGGTGCGGTGATCTACACCCAAATATGTCATAAAATGATTGAAAAAGAACTTGCTTGTCGATTTCTTTTACAGACACCATTTGACACAGGTGACGTATGATTATTTTCAAAAGAAAATTGGATTATGAGTTCCCAAACATTCCTCGCATTGTCAAAAAATGGATGTTCAATCTTGTGATGGTTTTCTCTTTCATGCACGTACAATATGTGATCTGAATTTTATTTTATCGAAAAGTATGCAAAGAGACAATTTATTTTTAGCACAAGGAGGTCACAATCATTATTGTCCTTAGGATTTTAAATTAGGTGGTTGTGAGCATGTCATTGACTCGACTAAAAGTTAAAAAAGTAAAAAAAAATAAAAAAAATAAAAATTCTCGATCTTCATGAAACACCTCAAGCTATCTAATTTGACATTTAATGGCTATCAGTGATTGTGACATCCTTGTAGGAAAGATAAATGGTCTTATAGAATACAATCCCTTATATTGGTTGCAAGGTAGAAAAGATCACATCCCCAAAAATTTTGGTCCTAAAAATACTATTAGATGAGTTATACCCTAGGTAGTAAATTGACATATGCTCCCTAAGGGGCACGAAAACTTTTTGCAGCTTTATAATTATGGTAGTTGATTATATGAGGGGCAAGCTTTCTATGCTTCCCTTACAGCATAAAAGGTATATCCTCCCCTTTATCCAACCATCCATTCTGAATGGAGGGTTAAGATTGTCCCAATCACAATGTCACATCTC